GCAGCCCCGCGACGCGGAGGGAGGCTGGCGGTCACAGCGGGGGAGGGCTCTGTGCCGCGGGAGGACTAAGGGGGAGCGATGAACCGTGCAGCCCCGCGACGCGGAGGGAGGCTGGCGGTCACAGCGGGGGAGGGCTCTGTGCCGCGGGAGGACTAAGGGGGAGCGATGAACCGCGCAGCCCCGCGACGCGGAGGGAGGCTGGCGGTCACAGCGGGGGAGGGCTCTGTGCCGCGGGAGGACTAAGGGGGAGCGATGAACCGCGCAGCCCCGCGACGCGGAGGGAGGCTGGCGGTCACAGCGGGGGAGGGCTCTGTGCCGCGGGAGGACTAAGGGGGAGCGATGAACCGTGCAGCCCCGCGACGCGGAGGGAGGCTGGCGGTCACAGCGGGGGAGGGCTCTGTGCCGCGGGAGGACTAAGGGGGAGCGATGAACCGTGCAGCCCCGCGACGCGGAGGGAGGCTGGCGGTCACAGCGGGGGAGGGCTCTGTGCCGCGGGAGGACTAAGGGGGAGCGATGAACCGTGCAGCCCCGCGACGCGGAGGGAGGCTGGCGGTCACAGCGGGGGAGGGCTCTGTGCCGCGGGAGGACTAAGGGGGAGCGATGAACCGTGCAGCCCCGCGACGCGGAGGGAGGCTGGCGGTCACAGCGGGGGAGGGCTCTGTGCCGCGGGAGGACTAAGGGGGAGCGATGAACCGTGCAGCCCCGCGACGCGGAGGGAGGCTGGCGGTCACAGCGGGGGAGGGCTCTGTGCCGCGGGAGGACTAAGGGGGAGCGATGAACCGTGCAGCCCCGCGACGCGGAGGGAGGCTGGCGGTCACAGCGGGGGAGGGCTCTGTGCCGCGGGAGGACTAAGGGGGAGCGATGAACCGTGCAGCCCCGCGACGCGGAGGGAGGCTGGCGGTCACAGCGGGGGAGGGCTCTGTGCCGCGGGAGGACTAAGGGGGAGCGATGAACCGTGCAGCCCCGCGACGCGGAGGGAGGCTGGCGGTCACAGCGGGGGAGGGCTCTGTGCCGCGGGAGGACTAAGGGGGAGCGATGAACCGTGCAGCCCCGCGACGCGGAGGGAGGCTGGCGGTCACAGCGGGGGAGGGCTCTGTGCCGCGGGAGGACTAAGGGGGAGCGATGAACCGTGCAGCCCCGCGACGCGGAGGGAGGCTGGCGGTCACAGCGGGGGAGGGCTCTGTGCCGCGGGAGGACTAAGGGGGAGCGATGAACCGTGCAGCCCCGCGACGCGGAGGGAGGCTGGCGGTCACAGCGGGGGAGGGCTCTGTGCCGCGGGAGGACTAAGGGGGAGCGATGAACCGTGCAGCCCCGCGACGCGGAGGGAGGCTGGCGGTCACAGCGGGGGAGGGCTCTGTGCCGCGGGAGGACTAAGGGGGAGCGATGAACCGTGCAGCCCCGCGACGCGGAGGGAGGCTGGCGGTCACAGCGGGGGAGGGCTCTGTGCCGCGGGAGGACTAAGGGGGAGCGATGAACCGTGCAGCCCCGCGACGCGGAGGGAGGCTGGCGGTCACAGCGGGGGAGGGCTCTGTGCCGCGGGAGGACTAAGGGGGAGCGATGAACCGTGCAGCCCCGCGACGCGGAGGGAGGCTGGCGGTCACAGCGGGGGAGGGCTCTGTGCCGCGGGAGGACTAAGGGGGAGCGATGAACCGTGCAGCCCCGCGACGCGGAGGGAGGCTGGCGGTCACAGCGGGGGAGGGCTCTGTGCCGCGGGAGGACTAAGGGGGAGCGATGAACCGTGCAGCCCCGCGACGCGGAGGGAGGCTGGCGGTCACAGCGGGGGAGGGCTCTGTGCCGCGGGAGGACTAAGGGGGAGCGATGAACCGTGCAGCCCCGCGACGCGGAGGGAGGCTGGCGGTCACAGCGGGGGAGGGCTCTGTGCCGCGGGAGGACTAAGGGGGAGCGATGAACCGTGCAGCCCCGCGACGCGGAGGGAGGCTGGCGGTCACAGCGGGGGAGGGCTCTGTGCCGCGGGAGGACTAAGGGGGAGCGATGAACCGTGCAGCCCCGCGACGCGGAGGGAGGCTGGCGGTCACAGCGGGGGAGGGCTCTGTGCCGCGGGAGGACTAAGGGGGAGCGATGAACCGTGCAGCCCCGCGACGCGGAGTTCTCTCGCCCACCTTGTCACTCTGCCTCCTCGGCCCCCTGGCTCTGCTCGGCCCCCCGGGCCTGGGGCACCGCCCGGGTGGGGAGCACCCTCTCCCTTCCGCTCTAGCGCAGGCCCCGGGGGAGGTCCTGGGCCGCTGAGCACCGAGGCAATCCCTGCCGGGGTTAGGTGTGGACGCCCAGGCCCCGGTGCAGGAGCCAGAGATGGGAGCCGTGTGTGATAGCGCCTCTGCGCTAGGGCAGCCTCGCTCCATGCGCCCAGCGTCCCGCGACGGATTGCAGGGCATCTCGCGCAGCAGCACCACGCCTCCCCACGGTGGGCAGGGCCTGCGGCGCGGGGCC